AACAACTTTTGGTAAAGAAAGGCTCTGTGCAATTCAATGCTCACATCATTGTTGAAAAATTCTACTACCAGTTCTTCATCACCTTAAATGAAATAGGGTGAATGCACTTCATATATAACTTATTTACTTATACTAAAATAATCTGATCTTGTTTGTTTGACCTCATTTTCGAAATTTGGCCAGAGAAACAGGGATATTTTGTGAAACGTAACTAGTCCTGCATCCTCTGCCATAGTATTCATTATTTCCAGCATCGGACCTTTAACTTTGTACATTCTCAGAAGTTTCGCTGGTTACGTCAGTGAGAGGTGCCATCGCTAGCACAGATTTACAACTTATCAGTTGCAAGTGAAGGCAATCACCTTGACCACTTTTCGGTTCGACCCCCGTGACATCATTCCCCGTCCCTATTTTTTTCCAATCTTCTATTGCTGAATCTCTTATCTCGATCCTACTTCATATCGCACATTTACCTATTCACACTATTCTATGTTCTTGTTTCCTCCAATATCGCCTAAGCGTACGTCGCCTCAAGTGTATTTATTGAAGCATAATCACCTTCACCATTCGTTTCAGACGTCATTTTCAGGACTTCTGGGCCATGGCTCCATTTCGTTCGCTTAGCCTTCTTTCAACTCTCCTTGTAAAATGGTCCCTGTACACATTTAAATCACTATCTGGCAGCCTAGACTTTTCAATTTCCGTCCTATTCTACGTAATTTCAATGATTTATAACCGGCGATATCCAGGCCTTGAGATCTTCCTCCCCATAGGCTTCAGACCCATGACCCATTTATCCTCTTTCTTATCCCTACATACATTGTGCCTTATTCTTTGTGGCCTTGTCCGACTTACTTCGGAACTAATGGTGTGAGAATGTACTGCTTAAATTTTCAACTCTTGGATAGCGTAAAGCACACTTCTTGCCCCTCAAGTTGGCAGTCCTATCCTATCCTAAGGTTCTAGTTAGTTATTCATGTGGATGTTACTTGGTGTCCCTCCTTGCAGTTTGTTGACTTTTTCATGTTGCGTGGACAGGCTAGTGAAGAGGGTTGGCCTTTACTTCAGCATTGTACAAATGCTCCATTTCTATTTTGGCGGTCGTAGCTTCCGAGCCAGTCCACAGGAGGGTAGACATATCAATCGTTTTTCTCTGCTTCTCTTGCTTTTCTTTCATAATCGTCGGCCTTCCATCTGTTCATCCCCATTCGTATGCTGCGTTGTATTGCTTCATCTGGATATCCGTTTCCAAGAAACATTTGAGTTAGTTTTTCCAGTCCTTCTTTCCAAAAATAAGAATGAGTAAGTCGTGGGCCTCTTATGACCATACTTCGGGGTATTTCAATCTTCATTTAATATGTATGGTTAGACTTGTTGTTAAGAGTTATTCCTCATGCGATTTCTCTCGAAAAAGTCTTTTCTTGAGAATTTCCTCGGAGCAAATGACTTTACATCCAAATGTCCGTTCTCTTCCACATCCGTGGTCAATTTGACTGAAATCGACTAATTTTTTTTTCCATGCAACCTGATTGCGAAGTAATAATCCAACTATCTCATAATGGCCGTTGGCTTCTGAGGTGAAGTTTTAAAATTTTCCTCCAACTTGTTTATGTATAAATCAGTCAACAGCGATTAAAGTGGTGAGCCCATAGGCAGACCAAATATTTTCTCATGGATGCGGCCGTTGAACATGAACTAGCTAGTTCTTGTTGTAAGGTTGATTAATCGGGTTATAAACTCTACGGATTTGCTCCGTCTTCAGGATGTCATCTTTTTTTCCAAGATCTCAAGTATTGCCGTGAGTTCTTTTAGTTTACATTTACTTAACTCAAAGCTCATCAAAAGTTCATTTCCTTGCAAATTCGTGCTTTTGCTTCCTTGGCAAAATCCATATGGGTTCTTAACTGTATTTGATAATCTATCCTTCATTTTATTTAATTTAAGGCATATAAATTTCGCCAGTTTATTTATTGGTATCTGTTTGCTTTTGACTGTCAGTCTCAATGGTTCTCCCTCTTCGTTTAACTTCGGCAAACTGTATAGATCTGTGGCTCTCCCTATTTGTATTAATTTCCTTAAGGGTTTTTCTTATGGTGGCCCTTTGATTTTAACTGTTAGGTCCTTTTTTAGCAATCAATTAGTTTGTGTGGCATGAATTTCCATTTCGAATGAAAGTTAGTTTGGAGGGAATAAAAATTGCCGCGTAGGAAAGACTGTTCTATTGTGGAAACAAGTCCTCGGCTCACCGTCCTGCTACCCCAATGAAGCTGTGCCAAGCTATTAGAAACCTAGCTTTTCTTCCTATCTGATGAGCTGTTGCGTTATAGAGAATATTTTTATTTTCTCTGTATGTCCTTTCTTCTCTATCGCTACTATGGCACCTCCTCTATCGGCTTGTAGAACTATTTGATCTTTTTTTTTAATTTTCTATATACCATGATTATATTGTTCCTATTCATGGGTTCTTGGTGCGCCAAAATTATTCAAATTATTTCCATTTGCATCTCTCTTTTTAATTTTTTCCTATCTTTTCATAGGTATCTATCACATCCATTAAAATGTCCTTGATTCCCTTTTTTTCCCTAAACAGAGCAAAATTTATTCCCTTCTCAAGAATTGCCGTGGTTTTAAGGTCAAGAGGGACTGAACCTGGATTCATTACTTTAGCTTTATCTCATGAAATACCACATTTAGTCAGCTTCTTCTAGTGCCTTTTTCGATTAAGTCCGAGATTTTCCTAGACATTTTCTCTGTCATCTTCTGTAGTCTCTGGATATCCTTCGAGTGATAATTCGACTCGAATGATATCTGAGTCTAGATATAATATCTAAGGGCTTAGGTAATTTTTCTCTCTATCATATGTCTTCTCTAAGTTTTGCTTTTTGGAGCCATGGCTCAAAAGTCCTGAAAACAGAATCCGAAACCGGTGGTAAAGGTGATTATGCTTCACTAAATCCACTTGAGGCGATGCATGCTTAGTCAACTTCGGAGGAAACAAGGTCACCGAATGGTATGAATAGGCAAATGGGCGATGTGAAGTGGGATTGAGAAAAGGAGATGCAACCCTAGGAGGTAGGAAATAATATATGGGCGATGAATGATGCCACAAGAGCTGAATAGAAAATTGATTAAGGTGATTGCCTGCTCTTGCAACTGATACGTTGTAACTTTGTACTAACGATGGCGTCTCTCATTGACGATGCCAGCAAAACTTATGAGAATGTGCCAAGTTAACGGTCCGGTGCTGGAAATCACGATTACTATGGCAGAGGACTCAGGACTAGGTACTCTCCACAAGGTCTTCCTGTCTCTGCGACCGAGTTGCAAAAGCGAAGTCAAGCAAAGACTATAAAGCTTAAGAAAACTGCGAACAAACTTAAGGCCACACCATCTTAGTTTTCATACCTACGATCATTGGCTCTATTGATTCACATATGGCTGCCCTAATGGTCAGATTTGTCTGGACAAGAGAAGGCATGGTCACTATGCTGGCAACACTTTTCATTATGAATCACTGCTATATCTTAATTATTATCATGGTGTCCTCGATATTAACCATTTACTAAATATTAAGGATTAAAAAGTGTCTTCATAGACATAGTATATTGTTTATAATTAATTGTTAGACCGTGATCCTTTTTACATGGTTTTTCCGTGTTATTTATCATTATTTTCATCGTCCTAGAAACTTGCTTTCTGATGGCGATGTAAAAATCGTGTGTCCTTTCTCTTTACCACATTCCTCTTAACGAGGAGAAAATCCATGCTAACAACATCTCAGAAAATTAAACTACCATTACTACTCTTTATCTGACACTTCCTTTGTTTACTAGAAGTCTGTGTAGCATTTTATTACCTGAGTGATCATAGGAAATCTTTTTTTTCTGTATAAACGATTGGGACCTCAAGGCTTATTTGTACCTTGAAAAGATACAATATTTGTTTTATGCCAGGTTATTCATCATTTTAATCAGCTTTTTTTAATAATTCCTACCTTTTATGATTCCCTCAGCTATCTCTTAGATATGAATAGCCTTTGATTTGGTTATTTTTCCTTTTACTGTATCAAGTTAATCGGTTCGCTTTTTTGCAAATTTGTCTTAAATGAGGCTTCGAATTATTTACCCCGCGCCGCATATTTTGCGATTTCTTTTTACACTATTGGTTCATTAACCACGTTCATTTTAGGTCCTTGGTCGGAATACTATCCGAAGGAGTATAGAGCATCACTAGTCATAGGGACGAATAAAGTTGGACCACTCAGCCAAATTGCTGTTGAACAGCTGTTTTTCGAATTGATTCTTACATTTTTCTTGCAGTCGCTAGCCTGGAACTCTCCCTCCTAATTTTCCTATTTCTGCTTCAATTGAAACTTCATGTTGCTCCTTCAAATTGTAGGCTTATTTCTCATTTCAGTCTATGCTAGCCACTTCATCTAATATGACCTATATTTTTGTGGGCTAAATCTCAGAATCTGAACTTATCTTTTTGGGCCACCTCGATGATTTTTTGTATACAACTGGGATTTTAGTCCAAATAGCCACAACTGCAACATCAGTTAATCCTCTTATGCTAATTATTCTAGACGATTTTTACTACTTTTTCTTTTCTTTCTTGGCGGATTACTTTTAAGGTTCTTCCTTAGTTTAACTACTCACCAACTTCCTTGCATTGCCTTTTCATACTGTTCATCTTTTATTCTTGATTAAATCGTCTTCACTTCTGGTTTTACTGCCTCCCGGTGTTTCCCACATTGTCCCAAACAATGAGCAAATCTCTTACAAATTCTTCTATCTTTTCCAATCTTTTTTATTTGTGCTTCTTTTATCTAAGCTGTTCATCGATTCTCTGAACTCCCGTTTCTTTTTACTTTACTCATATTACAATTACATTTTTGCCATTACGTGCAATTTTTCTGCTATTCAAATTAATTCTGTGTAATTGGTTCACAAGCTTCACGTTTGATAGAATAAACCTTGAGCAATCCATCTCGTTCGGCTTCTTATGTTGCGTTACCTTGTGGAGAGTTTAGTTTTCTTCAGGCTTTTAAGTAATTTTCTTTTTGCTAGTTGCGGAAACAACTTCCGAGCCAGTCCACGGATGGGCAGATATGTGTTATGTTTTACCTCTTAATCTTCTTTACTTATTCATATTTCAACATCTGTCTGTGTATTTATTTGCATAATTTCCGCTGGATTACCCTGTAATTCGATTAATTGTTTATTTTGAGTCACCAGTGGGTCTATCTTTCTTGTATTTTTCACAAGTTTATCCTTTTTATTGTATTTCAGGTGGAACCATCTACGAGGCTTTACGCCGCTGCATTCTTTCGGCCTACTTCGCGCGAAGCGATCCAGTTTGAGTTTGGCAGACGCAGTCGATATTCCCTTCCAATGACAGCAGGAATGTTGCGCCCGCCACGACAAGCAAATGCAGCTATGCCGTTGAGACTTGAACTTCAGTCACTTAAAGTGAGTTTCATTCAGCTTTTGGGCCGCAAAATCTTACATTGAATTCATTTGCAAGTAACGAAAGGTACCGTCATTCCACATACATTCACTTAGAGTGCGTTTCCTCCAGCCTTTTGGCTGACAACTTTTACTGGAAGGTTTATTCACCATAGGTTTAATAAGCTGATGAAAGTTTGCTAGATTGTATGAATTGATATGGGTATGCCTTACGATTTCATTCGAATTCACTTAGCCTTACCTCTTAAAATGTTTTATTATCCAGGGTGGATTCCAATTTCAACCTCTGAAGGGTTTCATCAACACCTTGTAGGAACATAGGCAGAGCACCTTTTCTATTTTAGAAATGTTATCTACATCGTATAGCGATGGGAATTAGAGGCTCAGAGGGTAGGTGTGGCTTTCATAGCAAGTCAGGCCTCGCTTGGATCGCATTTAAGGTTAGACCACACTTTGGAATCCGTTCATTTGGTAAATCTCTATATTTGTAGGGTTAGACTTATCTAAATAGCGAGTATCTTGTAATTTATGTTAATAGGTTAAACGATGCACGTATATTGAATTATCGTTCGGTTGCTATTCTGAATTACTCTTGCTTCCGCTCGTAATGTTATCTTCCTTCAGTATTCACATTGGGCTCGTGTCCCTCTTCATCACGCTCGCATCCAGAGCATGAAACTGAGCAACCAGCGTGGCTGGAGCGTCCTCCTAGACGATTGTGCCAGCCATGTTGCCATACAATTGCCTGACGTTGGACATTGTCTTTCTATAATCGAAATTGCCGAGCTACCAGAACTATTGAAGTAAGTTACTGTTGACCCGGTTGTCCAGGTTTTCTTGTATTCTCACTCGATTCATTTACATCCACCTCCCACGATTCTTTAACTTTGTATAATAAGATTTAGAATAACCATATAGCAAGGCTCTATAATCGTTTCAATTCCACTTACGACTAGTTTGTTAAGCCATTTACAATAACGGGTATTGCCACACTAAAATCAGCTAAGCTAGAAAAACTGGCATTTGACTGAATTATTAGGATAATTTACTTTGTAGTGATGGTTCGACCTCGTTTTCGCAAATTGTTCGGAGCGTCAAGGAGACCTTGTGGAGCATACCTCTTCAGAAACGAAAATACAAATTATTTAAACAAGTTTTTAATTATCCTGTCACAAGCACCTCTGTATAAAACGCTATATTAAATCATTTAGCATGACAGCCTCTTTACACTTATCAACAAGCATGTAAGAGAAGTAAGAAATGGCAACTCAACTATTGCAAGTAGTGAATAAGTTGACTAAGTCAGGCAAAAAATTGTGAGATATTTTCACACTATTTCGTTTAAGGTGATGATGAACTGATATTTGAATTTTGCTACAATAATTTGAGTAGGCCTTACGCTCCCATAGAATTTCATTGAGGCTTTCTTTTCCAAAGCAAATGAAGAAAGCATTGTTGTGATTTTCACTTTAATTGCCAGATTAAAAGATTCTTCGTTCAATTTCACCACGATACAACAGTGTATTCCTTCTGCTCTGAATTCTTTTGATATTACTATAACATCTAGTTGGACATAATTGGCCAGTTTTTGTCTGTCTTATGACTTATAAGACACTGTCAGATACGAATCTCATTCATTAAAATACTTTCAGCTAATGATAAGTCAAAAGACTAACCACTTTTCCTTACATGCTCTACACACTCGCAATGAGAAAAAAATGAATGAAATGGAATACAAAATGAGTACATTATTTCCTTTTCATGTTAACCTTGTATGTTAGTGTACCTCTGTGTGTATTCCCTAGCAAAATCGACCTAAGGCTTTCTGTATCGTCTACTTTGATGCAGAATGATAGCTATTTTACATAGTACTATAGTCGTATCTGACAGTGATAAAGGTTCCTGTTACAATCGGGAGATATGGACTTGAAAAACGATTCGTAGCATAGCT